CTCCACCTGATCCTTCCTGCAGAACCAGAGTTCTAACTGTGACTCTCTAACACACTAACGCCCAGCCTTTAAACCCATAATGGGAGTTAGAGCTACAATTTATTGAGCACCTACTATGGACCAGACAATATAAATATATTATTTCACTTAATTGTGAAATAATCCCATGTGATAGGTGTTATTATTAGTTTCATTTGAAAGACAAAGCCCCTGAGGCTCAGAGAAGTTTAGTAACTTTCCTAAGTTCAGGATCCTAGAGAGAGCTCTAATAAATACTGACATAATTTCAATGGCTTTTCAGAGTGAGATTTGTAGCATGTTTCAATGAGACAACAGTCTAATATGGAAGTAAATGGACCCAAAAAGTTTCCAGATATAGTTGAGGTAAGTAAATTCTACTCATCCGTCAAGGTTGGGTTCAAATTCTACCCACCCTACACGGCCTTCCCAGACGGCTCCCTCCCACAGGGGATTCGCATCCTCCTGAACTCCGCTCGCACCTTTTCTGTCTCCCATCATGGGCAGTGTTTCCAGGGTCTTCCATTCATCCACCACCCGAGTATCGGGCCCCCGAGGACAGGGGCTCTGCCTTCTAATTTTTTTGAACCCCTTTGGTGCCAGAGACTAGATGTTAAGATTTCCCTGATTAAGAGACCTGAACACTGAAAGGAACAGATGCAGTTCTTTTTAAGCCTTCACCACCAAATCCCATCCATTTTCAAAATGTGCCCCGAACTGTCCAACCTCCAAGCAGCTTTTCTCACAATACCCGTTCGAGTGAGCAACCTCACTGCCAAATAACCACTTCCAACACCTGTTACAGTGAAGGAAACACTTAGTGGCTGATTCCGACCGACCTGTGTGGAATTCTGCTTCAGTTGACCCAGAACAGTGATCTTGAGCATTATTTAACTTTACTCTTCTGAGCCTCAGATTCCCTGTTTGTAAAGTGTGAATCTATGCATCTGCCTCAAAGGGCTGAGGGACCCATGTCACAGTGTGAATCTGTGTGTCTGCCTCACAGGACTGAGGGACCCATGTCACAGTGTGAATCTGTGTGTCTACCTCACAGGACTGAGGGACCCATGTCACAGTGTGAATCTGTGTGTCTACCTCATAGGACTGAGGGACCCATGTCACAGTGTGAATCTGTGTGTCTGCCTCATAGGACTGAGGGACCCATGTCACAGTGTGAATCTATGTATTCACCTCACAGGACTGAGGGACCCATGTCACAGTGTGAATCTGTGTGTCTACCTCACAGGACTGAGGGACCCACATCACAGTGTGAACCTGTGTATCTTCCTCACAGGACTGAGGGACCCGTGTCACAGTGTGAATCTATGTATTCACCTCACAGGACTGAGGGACCCATGTCACAGTGTGAATCTATGTATTCACCTCACAGGACTGAGGGGCCCATGTCACAGTGTGAACCTGTGTGTCTGCCTCACAGGACTGAGGGACCTGTGTCACAGTGTGAATCTATGTATCTGCTTCACAGAGCTGAGGCAGCTGTGTCACAGTGTGGTCCTATGTATCCGCCTCATGGGCCGGAGGGACCTGTGTTATAACGCATTTGATGTAATGCCTGCAAAGACATGCTCCAAAATGGTAGCCATATTCATTACAGTCAATAATTCATCAAAGTGCCCCATAAGGATGGCATTTACATACATGCGTTTTCTGATCTGCTAGAGCAGTAGTTCTCAAACTCTGGAGTATGTCGAAATAATTTAAAATTAAATGGCCTAGGTCACACCACAGATCCCCAGAACAGCACCCCCACTAGGCAGGGGAGACTGTGGGGACTGGACAGCTCCCCTTTTAACGAGACTCCCCACCACTGCAAGTGATGCCCTGGAAAATTCTGCTGGTCAGTATTTGATTCCCAAATTCTTCTGCATGGAAATGTGAGGTTCCAAAGATACTTCCAGACCCATGGTTTACAAACTTGTTTGGAATATATCCTTGTCTGAGCACAGTCTTTAGTGATTCAGATGTTGGTTTGGGATGTGACCAGAGTGTCAAGATTTCTAAAAAATGGGCAAAGAATTCTAATAATGAGCCAAGATTAAAAACCACCGCTCCCTGGGGCTCTACATCCCAGGTTTTCATTGTATGTCTCTGAGGTTTCAACCAGAGCAGCTCAGCTTTTGCCTTTGTAACAAACCGAGCCTCCGTCTAAGGCTGATTTTGCACAGAGGATTCTTATGCTTTAAACAAAATAGTGTGCAAACAGCTGTTCCAAACTATCAGTAACAGTCTTTAGTCCCCACCCCCAACTTGGTTTTTATACCTTTGTGTCTGTCCCAGAGCCTTACAACATAGTAGATGCTTAATAAATATTTGTTGGAAGGTTGGATAGTTTTGTTTTATTTGTTATCTGGCTCCAATTAAGTTTTCAGCTGCCTAGCATAACAATCTAACAGTTTCTTAAACATCTAAGCCCTAACAGCCTTCGCCTCAAACCTCAAACCTGAAACACAGAGTGAGGCAGACAGTCATCCAGAGAACACACTGACATTTCTTCTGGGGTCACATAGACTATGCAAGCTCCTCATCACTAATAAACATAAGCAAATGGAATTTTCATCAGCCAGGAAGAGCGTGACATTCATCGGCAGCACAGGCCTCCCATGCTAATATTTGGATTATTTCATCTGAAACTGTCAAATTACAAGAGCATGATAAAAACTTGTAGGAACTTCATAGTAAACAGTAACTGGCCCCTTGTCAATAAGTTAGAAGAGAAAATTTTCCTGCTGCCAAAACGCATGGGCCGGAAAGACTTCAGCCCAGGCCGGCAGCCAACGAGAGAGCCTGTTCCCTGGGCAGCTTTTCTCGGCTCAAAACCACAGAGGCTGGGAGAGAATTCCCCGAGTACACCAGGGATCTGGGAGTCAGTAGCACCTTCCAGTTGCAGCTTTTTCTGTGGCTTTATTTAGGACTCGGAGTGGTTATTTAACACCTAAAGGTCTCAGATCCCTCACACGTAACATCTACTTCATCGGGTCCTGAGAGTCATGACTGCCCTGGTTTGAATCCTAACTCTTAACATACTGGCTGTGCAGTCTTGGGCAAGTCACTCCACCTCTCTGTCCTTCCATTCCCTTGCCTCTAAAACAAGGTGTTAGCATCCATCAGACAGGGTTGTCAGTGTGCAGTGAGAGGAGCAGCCTGACACGGAGCAGGCATTCAACAAACCTTAGCTATGACACATCTGCAGTTCCGAAACCAAGAGTTTTAAAAGCCAAGTTTTTGTCTTTCATTTTCTTTGAACATTTTTGTCACGTTGATATCAAAATTCACTGGGCAGCGAACCTAACCCTAACAAACATAAGGCTATTTAAGGTCTCTTTTATCCTATGTGATATGAAAATTCATGTTTCACTGCAGAAATAATGATGTGTTTGATTATGGGATGCTGCCTCGCACCAGAGAAGGAATGATATTAATGTGTGAAATACACCCTAAATTACCATCTAAAATCTGAACAGTTCTGAATTGTCAGATGCACTGGCAGAAGCATTTCCTGGAAGGGACTGGTGAGCTATGTTACTGCAGGGCCTGGTCGGAATGAAAGGAGGCGACATACGATAAGCCCTCCGCTTCGGTAGCAGCAGACCCTCGGTCCAGACTGACACTGCAGGGGACTTGCGTTTCCAGGCAGGAAGAGAGAGCAGGAAACACCCTCTCCCAGCTGATCCCTTTCTTTACTCTCCCACTGACAGGTCCTGCCAAGCCATGAAACTCTCAGCTCTTCTCTCTCTTCTATCAGCCCATTTCCCTCAGAATTCAGCTAAAGTATCTTCTCTGTGACATGATTCCTCACCCAAACTCCTGCTGACCAGGTCAAGAGCATGCGGCAGGGAGGCTGGGTGGGTTGCATCCCCTCTCCACCTCCGGGCCCTCCAACGCTAGACCGAGAAGGACTCTCACAGCATCCAGCCACGTGCTAAAGGGTGGCCGTGCGTGCTGACGTCCAAACTGCAACTGACAAGAGGGGCTTGGTCACCCACCTGACAGGCTCATACCTCCCTGGGATGGGCATTAACTCGCTTGACCACTAAATTAGATATGTCTTAAGCATAGAAACCATTATCTCACACTATTTGTTCCCTGTTGTTCTTAAAGCTTTTTTATAAATATTCTCTTAAATTCTACCATGGGCCTCGGGCATGCAATCTGTCAATATTGCTTGATTAATTCACTGACAAGCTTTTCTCAGCATCTGTATTCCTATGTTTCCTGTGGGCTCTGCCTACTTTGGCATATTTACGCTGGCACAGCCGGGGAAGCTTCTTAGGGCTATACATGTATTTTAATGCCACTAAGCCATTTCTATACTTTATATTTTGTTGAGACTCTAAACAATGGGTAGGTCCTTAGTTAGACATAGCCTCAAAGCTGTGTGTTTACTCAAAATACTTTGTAGAAACTTTCTAGAAAAGTTTGCAGAATCCTGAAACACACAACCTGAGAGCAGGTAATACTTGAGACATTGGACTTGTCCAAGGATTTGAAACTCAGGAGGTTAAAAGGCACTTTGGATTATAAGGTACCTTGTCCTCAACTCAAATCCCCACAGCCCGGGGCCAGGGTTCTCCTTTCCCCCTGCACCAGGCAGTCAGAACTGGGAGGGAGGTCTCCTCACTCTAGGTCCCCTCTTTTCATCCTCCACAGGGCCTCCCTAAGGTTGATGCCTAAGGGCTTCTTAGAATTAGCTTCACTTTGAAGACTATTCAGAACCACAGAGTGGGATGGGAGTGGCCTCAACACTTTAAAAAGCTGCAAATAAATCAAAAGATGAAAGGAGATACACGGAGCCAAGAATTCCTCCCCACCCTGCAGGAGCAATGCATTAACCAAGCAATCTGTGGTGCAGAGCACACAGGGCAGGAGGCAGGAGGCAGGGGGCAGGGGGCAGGGGGCAGGGACAAAGACTCCGCAAGGGCCCTAGCGCGTGGCGGGCAGGCAGGGGCAGGGAGGGTGTGTACCTTCTGTCCGCCATGGGTTCTCGGGCCCGTGCTTGGGGATGCCGGCTGCCCCTCACCACCGGGCCCTGGCGGCTGGCATTGATGCCGGCTGGGCCGCGCGACTCTTCACGGCTCCGGTGAAGCGGCACCGACGTGCGCACAGCCGACACCACGTGGCCGGAGAAGGCGTGCGCCGGAGCTCCGGGTCGCGGGCTGCCACGCGCACGGTAAGATCCGGGCAAGCAAGGCCGGGTCTGCTCCATCACACCACCGCTGCAACTGCGGGAGCAGGCGGACCAGGGGCCCCAGGAGCCCCAGACGCCTGGGACTCCGCCACCGCTGTCCTCGGGGGCGCCCTCGGCTGCTACCATCCGCTGAGGGACCTGCGGAGACAGAGGTCTGTTAGGGGACCAGGACACCCGCTCCTGCTTCGCTCTCAAAGACTATGGATAACCTGACAGGCTTGTCCATTAGGCACAAGTAGGCACGGGGCCTGTTTTAAAATTTGAAGAATAAAATGAGTATAATCCCACCCAGATCATATTTGTCTTTAAACCTGTGTACTCATAAAATATAATTTTAAATGTTTTTTATGGAGGAAGGGACACACCAAGGCACAAGTGCTCGGGGCTTAGGAAAGTCATAATGTAGTCCTTGCTTTGGGTGCCGTGGCTTTGGAGGGCTCAGCGTGGTTCCCTCGCCTTGTAGTGAGGCTCCGCCTTCGCCTGGGCGTCCCCTTAGCCTCAGTCAGGCTGGAAAGGGATTTAGGGCAGATGGACCCGTACAGAGCAGAGAGCCTGGCACTACATAGTCACAGTCACAGTTTGGACAGTTCCTGCTTCCACGGTGAATCAGGGGAGGTGGAAACATCGGAAAGTTTTAAAGTTCTATCCAGAGGGCGAGTGTACACTTCCCTTTATTTCACTTGCCATTTCCCAGAGACCTACCCCACCAGGCCTGGCATGGTGCTAATGGTGAGTGCCTATTGTGCCTTCATTATGCAGACATGGTTGAGCACCAGCTGTATACGAGTACTGAGCTAGTACCTGAAGACAAAGAGAAAAGCACCTCAGAGCCACAAGTATGGCCTGAACGGGGCAGCAGAAGAGCTCTGAAGAGCCAATCCAAGGTTGGGGGAGGTTCCTGGGGGTACTAGCTGCCCTAGCTGGGTGAAGGGGGGTGGGGCATTGAGAAGGCATCAGAGGTGGGAACAGAGAAATAGCTGTAATCACACAATGGCCACTGAGTGCCAGGGAGACGTGTAATCTCCAGCCCTCACAGCAGCCCTGGTTACCGCCACTCTCACCTTGCAGAGGTGAGGTTCCCCAACTCAGGTTGAGGCGGGTGACCTGCCCCAGCTGCGTCAGTTCAGCAAGGCTGGGACTTAAGTCCGTCCAGCTCCCCGCTCTCTCCCCAGCAGGTGGCTGCTTTTGTGCTTCTGGTCCCCTCTTCTGGAATGTCCTTCCTTTCCATGGGACAAGCAACGCTGTGACTTTCCTTAGAAGGTGGGTTTTTCAGCAATCCTCAGGCTTCCATTGAAAATGCAAAAAGGCCTCCAGATTATCTTACCCCCCACCCCCACCCCTTTTTTTTACATGTTGGTTTTGGGCAGCATTGTTTGGCCCAAGAGCTCCAAGACCTTTCACACTTGCACTCCTGCTTTTTCCCCATACTACCCCTGGGCAGTGAGAAAGTCCAGGGACTGTCTGCCCCGTGTGGGGAGCACACCGAGAAAGCTGGGTTCCTTCACCCCACAGACGGGAACGAGAGATGGAGCTCGAGGGACCTCAGAGTGGGCTGTGAGCAAGCCGGAGGAAGTCCACGTGCTCAGCAAGCGCCACCACTGCTGTTGCCGAACTATGTCACTAAAAGCAAGGACTCAGCTCATGGGTAGAGGCCTTGTCCCCAGGCATGCACTTGGCCAGCCTGAAGCCACGGGACTGGTTCAATTGGGGCCACTTCCTGTCTTCTGCATTCCAGTACACGGAGTAGTTCCAAGGTTCCTGAAGGTTCAGGGTCTAACCAAGGGAGCATGAGTAAGAAAGGGAGGCCAGGGAACAAATGAGAGTCTTCGCAGCGGCTGAAGTCCAGAGCCGGGTGTCAGACAGCCACGGGGGCCCGAGGGAGCTGCGGTCGGAGCACGGGCACCGCGGGAGGTTCCGTGGCGGGAAGTCTGCAGCTCCTCACCACCCACGTGTGAGCAATGCGAGCAGCAGATGTGGTAAGCACCGGAATGATGAATACACTCCAGTCATCACGGCTACGTTGGGAGCCCCAGAGAGAAGGCTTTTTGTCTGCTTATAAATACAAAACAAACAGGAAAACAAGCTTTTGTTCTTTCTTCTCTTCCCACACATGTCCTGATTTATTAATATCAAACTGATGGTGGGTTTACTGAGGTTATACAAATGCCTAATCAGACCACAGTCTTGATATAGAAAAAAATCCCTAAACTGTGGGTAGTGAGTTGAATGGTGACCCTGCCCCAAAGATATGTCCATGCCAGGACCCAGAACTTGTCAATGTGACCGGATTTGGAAAAGGGTCATCGCATAGGTCATTAAGGATCCTGATATGAGAGTAGCTTGGATTGTCCCGGTGGGCCCTACATCCAATGACAAGTGTCCTTGTAAGGATGAGTCCACGTGACCACCCATGCAGAGACTGAAGTGAAGAAGCCACATGCAGGAAGGCCCGAGTCCCCAGGAGCTGGAAGGAACAAGGAGGGAGCCGCCCCCAGTCGGGAGCGCTTGCGGGCCTGGCAGCACCTGGAGTTTGAACTCTGGCCTCCAGAAGTGTGAGGAGATAAGTTTCTGCTGTTGTGAGCCATCCAGTTTGTGGTAATGTGTTATGACGGCCCTAAGGGACCAATACAGCGTGTTAGTACTTCTAAGACAAGAGAGGAAAGGGGACAGACATTTGCAGAGCACCTTTTCTGTGTCCGGCACGGTGCAAACCGCTCTTGTGCACGGCAGTGGGTTCTATTGGCACAGGCCCCTCAGCCTCCCTAGGAGGTTGGTGTGACTTGGTCTCTTTCACAGGGAAAAACCGAGGCCCAAGAGCTGTATGACTTGCCCACAGTCTCAGACTAATGCGGGGCGCAGACAGGACTCTAACTGAGGTCTCCTGACTCCACTCTAGTGTTTTTGTGTTTCCCCTGCTGCATGTCCCCTCCCTGCCAGTGCTGGCGGAGAACAGGAGGGTGAAATGGGAAATAAATCCGCTCTGATGGTTCCGGTATTGCAGAAGGACAGTAGGGATAAACAAATGAAGGCAGAGTAGGTTTCCCACACATTTGGGGATTTCAGTTACCACTTTGGTAACACAGATAATTAAGGCACTATCCATACTGTTTGTGTTAGATGTGCACTAAAAATCCACTTCCTACAACTAATCCTACTCTTGATTTACTTTCCTGTAGCCAAATGGAGCCGGGTCCCTGGGAGAGAGGGGACATGAAACCGCATTCCATCCTATCCTATTCATAAGAATTCTCTAGTATATGGTTGAATTGTGGTGAGTGACTTGAAATTCTATCTCAGTCCCCATGGTGTAGATCTAACCACATTCCCAGAATTGTGTTTTTATAGTACGCAGCCAGAAACAAAGGGGAAGGGGGCAGAAAAACAGAAAGGAAGGAAGGAAGGTGGGGGGAAATGCAGAGAAGGAGAAAAAAAGGAAGAAAAATCCAAGAAAAAATATAAAGGGAGAAGGGCCTCGGACGTCAGCCTCCTAGTCTCACCAAGCACCCACCCTCTGTCCATCCCTTCCCACCCCCCAAAGGACCCTCCTCCCTCCTTCTCCCTGATAGTCAAGGGGTTCTCTGTCAGTCCAGATGGGAAAACTTCCAAGTCTTCTGTGCCATAATATTCCTAAAATTAGGACTAACAAGACCTCTTTTAGTCAGTGACAAACCACAAAACCAAGGAATAAATCCTGGTGAGAGACAACAAACCACCGACAGTCACCTGCCAGTGCGGTGCCCCTCCCCCCACACACACACAGGTGTGTGAAGACTGGAGCGGAGAACCTGAGGCACTTCTGAAATGCACCCCAAATGCTGATGTCCTCATGTACAAAGAAGTCAACCAGTCAGTAAGAAAAAGACAAACAACCCAATGCAAATAAGGGACTGAGGGCATGAACAGGTAGTTTATAGTCATTACGGATTGAATGTTTGTGTCCCCCTCAAAATTCATATATTTGAAGCCCTAATCCCCAATAAGACAGTATTTGGAGATGGGACCTTTGGGAGATAATTAGGTTTAAATAATGTCATGTGGGTGGGACTTCAAGATGGGACTAGCGTCCTTAGGAGAAGAAGGAGAAAGGATAGAGCTCTCTGTCTCTCTGCCACAAGAAGACCTAGCAAGAAGCCAGCCGTCTGCAGGCCAGGAACAGAGTCCTCACCAGGGAAACGAACCTCTCAGTGCCTTGATCTTGGACTTCCTAACCTCCAGAACCATGAAGATAAACCACCCAGTCTATGATTTTTAGTTATAGCAGTCCAAGCTGACTAATATAACAGAAAAATACATGAAAACAGTTTGACATCATATATCATCAAATAAATGCAAAACAAAAACAACAGAATTCCATTTTATCCCATTAGATTAGTAAAGATTATAAAGTTTACAACATTATAAAGTTTACAACATTACAACATTATATGGCAAGAGCATTCACCGCTAATGGGAGTGTAAATTAGGGTGGCTCCTTTGGAGGGAGCTCTGCAATATCTATCAAAACTTTAGATGCACGCCGCTCTATCTCCGGCAGTTCACCCCGGAGAAATGCTCAAAACTACTGCATAAAACCATGCAAGTTGTGTTTCTAGACTTTTATCGCAACCTTTTTTGTAAGAACAAAATCCAAAAAATCTGGAAACAAAGCAGGAGGCTGCTTCAGTGATATCTGATCTGTCCAAACAATGGGATGCAATCTATGTGCAGAGCAAGGCGGGCGTACCTGTCAAAGTGGACAGCTATTTATAGTGTACGAATTAGTGGCAGGCAAACAAGGGGTAGAACAAGAAGTGTATGGAGAATAAACCTATCTGCAGATACTAAGCATTAGGTTGAAACACAAACAATTACTGAAATTTGACCATTCCTGATCCACAAAAATGCAATTTCATGATTCACTGCTTCAAATGATTCAGCACGATTCAACCTAACTTGAGTAGCTTCCGGCAATGAAAACAGCCCAATGGGAAAATCTTTCGCCACTAAACTGGGCAACGTGGATGAAAAACTAAAATGTAGTGTGACCTACCCACCTACCTACCACCACCTTCATATAACTGGCTGGCTGCCCCCGGGAGGCAGAGTCAGTAAAATTTACCGTCATTCATGAGCGCACAGGACTTCTCCTTTGGGCATGT